CATTTATACACTAATTTTTGACACATTGTTTGACACTTGCATTGTTGTTGAGTGTCAATGGGGTGGAAAACTGTTTGAAATTTAAACTGCCCAACAGGGTAACGTCACGTGGCAAAGTGTAAACTAAAGTGTACACCATAGTGTACATGTCTCAAAATTCTTACCGATTGAACTTTGCTATTCGTACACTAATTTTTGACACATTGTTTGACACTAGCATTGTTGTCAAGTGTCAATTAAATGGGAAAACTATTGAAAATTTAAACTGTCCAACAAGGTAATGTCCAGTGGCGAAGTGTAAACTAAAGCGTACACCATAGTGTACGATTAGTAAGGTTCTTATCAATTGAACATTGATATTTGTACAATGATTTTTGACACGCTTAACACTTGCATTGTTGTCGAGTGTCAATTGGATGGGAAAAATGTTTGAAATTTAAACTGCCCAATAGGGTAACATCACGTGGCAAAGTGTAAACTAAAGTGTACACCAGAGTGTATGTCTCAAGGTACTTACCGATTGAACTTTCCTATTCGTACACTGATTTTTGAGACGTTATTTGACACTAGCATTGTTTCCAAGTGTTAATTGGATGGGAAACCTGTTGGAATTTTAAACTGTCCAACATGGTAATGTCACGTGGCAAACTGTAAACTAAAGCGTACATGTGGAAATGTTCTTATCGGTTGAACTTTGCTATTTATGCACTAATTTTGGACACAATTTTTGACACTTGCATCATTGTCAAGTGTCAATTGGATTGGAAAACTATTTGAAAATTAAACTATCCAACAGGGTAATGTCATGTGGCAAAGTGTAAACTAAAGTGTGTACACCATAGTGTACATATAGCAAGGTTCTTATCGATTGAACTTTTCTATTTGTAAACTGATTTTTGACACGTTGTTTAATACTCGGATTGTTGTCAAGTGTCAATTGGGTGGAAAAATGGTTTGAAATTTAAAGTGTCCAATAGGGTAATGTCAAGTGGCAAAGTGTAATCTAAAGTGTACATCATAGTGTAAATGTAGCAAGGTTCTTACCGATTGAACTTTGCTATCTATACACTGGTTTTTGACACATTTTTTGACACTTGCATCGTTGTCAACTGTCATTTGGTTGGGAAAATTGTTCGAAATTTAAATTGCCCAACAGGGTAATGTCAAGTGGCAAAGTGTAAACAAAAGTGTACACCATAGTGTACATGTAGCAAGGTTCTTACCGATAGAACTTTGCTAGTTGCACATCGATTTTTGACACGTTGTTTGACACTTGCATTGTTGTTAAGTGAAAATTGGATGGGAAAACTGTTTGAAATTTATATTGCCCAACAGGGTAATGTCACATGGCAAATTGTAAACTAAAGTGTACACCATAGTGTACATGTCACTAGGTTTTTTCCGATTGAACTTCTCTATTCGTACACTGATTTTGGACACGTTGTTTGACACTTGCATTGTTGTCAAGTGTCAATTGGATGGGAAAACTCTTGAAAATTTAAACTATCCAACAGGGTAATGTCACGTGGCAAAGTGTAAACTAAAATGTATGCCATAGTGTACATGTAGAAAGGTTCTTACCGGTTGGACTTTGCTATTTGTGCACTAATTTTGGACACATTGTTTGTCGCTTAAATTGTAGTCAAGTGTAAATTTATGGGAAGACTATTTGAAACATAAACTGTCCAATAGGGTAATGTCACGTGGTAAAGTGTAAACTAAAGTGTACACCATATTGTCATGTAGCAAAGTTCTTACTGATTGAACTTTGCTATTTGTTCACTAATTTTTGACATGTTGTTTGACATTTGCATTGTTGTTAAGTGTCAACAGGATGGGAAATTTTTTTGATATTTAAACTTTCCAATAGTGTAATATCACGTGGCAAAGTCTAAACTAAAGTATACACCATAGTGCACAAGTAGTAAGGTTTTTACCGATTGAAATTTGCTATTTGTTCACTAATTTTGACACGTTCTTTGACACTTGCATTGTTTTTAAATGTCAATAGGATGGGAAAATTGTTTGAAATTTAAACTGTCCAAGAGTGTAATGTCACGTGGCAAAGTGTAAACTAAAGTGTACATCATAGAGAGCTTCGTATGGTGCCATTCCAATAGTTGCTTGGAAACTGTTATTATAAGCTAACTCTACTAGAGATAGGTATGACTCCCAATTACCTCCTAGATCCAAAACACATGTTCTCAGCATGTCTTCCAAAGTTTGGATGGTCCTTTCAGACTAACCATCGGACTGAGGGTGATATGCTGTACTAAAGTTCAGCTTCGTTCCCATAGCTCCTTGTAGACTTTTCCAAAATTTGGACGTGAACCTTAGGTCTCTTTCAGACACAATGTATATAGGTACACCGTGTAATCTCACAACCTCTTTAATGTACAACCGTGCCAATTGGTCTAAACTGAATGTCATTTTCACTGGAAGAAAATGAGCTGACTTCGTTAGTTGATCCACTACTACCCATATAGCATTATTTCCTCTTGTTGACTTCAGGAATCCAACCACAAAGTCCATCGTGATATTTTCCCATTTCCATTCAGGTATATCTAGTGGATTTAACAATCCAGCTGGTTTTTGGTGTTCTGCCTTAACCTGTTGACATACCATGCACTTCTGCACGTATAGCCCTATACTTCTTTTCATATTTCTCCACCAAAAATGTATCTCGAAGATCTCGATATATTTTTGTACCATCGAGATGTGCGGTGTATGGGATGGAATGAGCTTCTTTTAATATCTCGTTTCTCAAGGCTTCCTCCTTAGGCACGCAAATTCTTCCTCTAAATATCAGTGCTTGATCCTCAGCTACTCCAAAGTCCTTTTTCTTATCGGTACCAACTTCATTCTTAATCTTCTACAAAAATGAGTCTTTATTTTGTGCTTCTATAATTCAATCTCTAAGAGTAGGTCAAATTATAAAAGCTGCTAGACGAGCAGTGACTTGTC